TCTCTCGTCGGGGGGCGGCATTTGAACGTTGGTGGCCATCGCCCGCATTCGCGTTGACCTTAGTTGTCGTCCTGGGTTTTTAGTCTTGATTGCATCCCTCTGACCGTGTTTCTCCCCGTCTGCCGGAGTGGTAGTTCAGACAACAGTATTGATGACTGTGCCTTCGTCGGGCCCGATTTGCGGTGTGCGGTGTAGGTCATTCGTAGTTTCTTCCGTGTTTGGATTCACGCTCGGCCTGACTTCGCGCTTGCTCTTTAGTTCGTTGAGCTGCGTCCGGAGGGCTCGGTAGGCTGCCGGAAGGGCAACACAACGGTTCATTGAGGTTGTCTTCGTGTGCCAGACCTCGATTGTTTCCCTGGCTACGCGGTCATTGTCTCGACCCAGAATTTTGGCGTTCTGGGGGGTGAAAGTGTGTCCAGAGTCCGCGCATTGTTCCGCCACCAGAGACAATGGGTCCATTCTCCCCAGTGCCCGCATGTATTCGTTAACGCGGGTTTGTAACCGTTTGCCTGGGTCTCCGACGTAGTTGGCTTCGTGAGAGTTACATTGGACCCGGTAGATGACATTTGTCGTCTCACTTCGAGGCAGCAGAGCGTTCGACGGCGTCTCTGAGGCAGTTCCCCGCCTCCTAAGACCCCTGGATATCGGAATCGCTCATCGACCAGACTCAACCATTCGACATTTGGTTATGAGACCGAACTCTTTTTCACCGCGCCTTTCGGTACTGCAGCGATGAGTATCTACTCAAGAAAGAACAAGCCTACATAGGCTAATTATTCCGATCTACCGGATATCCGATAAGCTTCGTGAAAAATTATCTCAGACTTCAGAGGCAACTACAAGCTCGGAGTTCAAGTGGGGAAGTGGAACAGAGGAAATGTTATTCCTTGGCCTACATGCGGGGAATTTTTGATGCGATTGCCCGGCAACTAAAGCGGTTTGACATCTGAATTGTCAACAAACCGGCGTCCCCTCTACGCGCAGCATTATCCCGGGCAAAGGATCCCATATCCGAAGAACAGTAAAGTAACGTCATTTACCATATCTCGTGCGATAACTGCCGTTGCGTTTTTATGGGTCATACGGATCGACAACCTGGGACTCGCATTAATGAACACAAACTAGCTATCCGCCGATGAGACCCCTTATCGCTCGTATTTGCGCACGCTCTTGATTGTAACCACCGTTTCAATTGGGATGGTGCTGAAATGGTCGTCACGGCTAACATCAAGGAGGCACAGGAATTCCTCGACGCTTGGCTATCCGGTGCGGACAGCATTTGCCGCTATGTTTAGCTAGATGTTCACTACGAGGGTGGATTGCGGTGGACTGACTAGCACCAACCTTAAGAACAGCAACAGTTAATGCGTGCCCCCACATGCAAGATCTCGCCGATACGCCATTCCTCCCCCCACCCTCCTCCCCCCTACACGGTAAGCCACAGCCGGGACCCAGAACATCTATCCCCACCCCCAGCACCCATCACAACAGGATTTTCACCTTCCTCTCGCAAGGTCGTCTGCTTATCTCTCTGTCTGCGTCCTCAGCCAGCAGTGTGATAACCCCACCTCTCATAATTCACCTCGTCTGACGACGAGTTGGTGTAACCAGCTCGAAAATTTACGAGTAAAATTCTTTTTTTCCGACGGACTTCCTCCTTTCATCATATTCTCTCGAAATGCATACTACTTCGTTCATTCAACATATATATATATTACATGAGCGGGGTGTAGGGGTGTCAGCGGTGGGTTCACGTAATGGTCGTGGTGGTCGCTCACTTGCTTGCAGGTGAGACTGCGCCTAGCGTCCACTTGCTGGCACTCAACTCTCACCTGTGGCTCCACGTAGCTGGGCTCTGCTCAGCGGCCACACCCCGGGCAACCGTCTCGACCGGCGGGCTAAACCAGGTGAGGGGGCCCTGTGCGCTGTGCCGTGTGCACAGGGTTTGCGGATTCCGCTGGATGGAAGGTCGGATGGAACCTTGCGTCGGCACCGTCGTGACGTGGTTCGTCTCTGCACGTCGCTTGACAGCCGGTGACGGGATGGATCTCCACATCGACATCGCCTTGACGCGCCCACCCTCGCCGACGGAGACCGCGGCTTACGGCGAATTCGAGTCGCTCTCCACTACAACCCGAAGTCGTGGTCCCATAGTGGAGTTCGGCCGTGCCACAACGGCACATGGCAGCCCTATTCAGGGATGGCACTGCCAGCCCCCACGAGGGGAAGGGCCTAGAAAAGGTGGCCTAAACATTGCTGGGTACCACGCCGTCTCCAAGCTAGCCAGGGCCGCAGACGTCTAAACATGGTCGAAACAATCAAAATCGAAACAACAACAATACCAATAACAACAACAACAACAACCATACTCATTCTCCTCATCCTACCTCTTCTTCCTCTACCTCCGTCTACTCTTCTGCCTATTCTTCTCCTTCGTCATCTTCTTCTCCCTCTCCTTCCCGTCGCCCCACTCGTTGTCACCAGACTGGCAGGGTGAGCGCGCTCACTCTGGCAGCCTGGAATGTTTGTTCCCTTTTAGACAACCCGAGGAGCA